AACAACGTCGAAACAACGTCTGTTTTGAGACGTCGATATTACGTCGGCAAAACGACGTCGAAATGAAGCTGATATATGGTCGCCTCAACGACGTGACAAAAATTTCATATCAAATACCTTGTATGACCATTCACAATACTACAAAAACATTTTCCTATAATATGCAGTCAAATATTGTGTTTGTCCGATTTTACCTGACGTTGAAACAACGTCGAAACAACGTCTGTTTTGAGACGTCGATATCAGGTCGGTGAAACGACGTCGAAATGAAGTCGTTTAAAGGTAGATCGACGTCGCGACCGAAATTCAACCAAAATTCGACGTCGAAACGACGTCGCGTGCTTACTGGGATATGTCTTTGGCAAATGGATTTACTTCCAAAGAGCATCTTGAGGGGTTGCATTTAGAGATAGCAGACTGGCATGCTGGTAAAAATTTTTAGAGGTATTTTAGTTTTCTTAAAGTACATAATTATATACAACACAAAGGAAGGAAGGTTGTTCTCTCTGACTATATATACAATGAAATCAGATTATCACAAAATAGGATACAACACACAGACGGATTTTCAGATTTTGCTCTGGGGGTAAGTGACAGGTGCGTAGCACCGACGAGTAAGCTGCAACAGGGGTCTGGGGGCACAGTTTCCAATGGGGGTAACAGGGAGAGATGCAAGAAAATTTTGAGATTTTTGGTCTTAGATCAAAATCCTTGTGTTTAGTCTTACTTAATTCAAAATCTTTATTTCAATCACACTATTTTATCCCAATGAGCATTTAATTTTTTTGGGCGGGAGAGGGTGCAAATTTCTCTAGGTGAGATGAATGCTACAAGCACTTGTACTTAATCCATTAGGCTGCAATGTGCCCCCAGTACTTTATTATTTTTACTCTCACTGTCTAATGCCATTACCATTAGCATTATTAAGTGGTTATAATAATTATTTTTAAGATTTTGGGAATGGACTGCTTCGATGATGAGACACCAACGAAGAATGTTCTGGATGAAAGTTTTGCAACAAAACAAGACAAAGGTGATTACCTAAGAAACATTTCTTCCATGGTGGTAGATTACTAATGTTATTGACAAAAAACAAAATGAGGACATTCTCAAGTCTGTCCAGGTAATGCAGCATGCACAACAAGGTCGGGATCGGGAAGTCAATTCAGAAGGGAGATATTGTTGTCGAGCACAAGGCTGTCCAAAAACATTTGCACATGATGGTAAACTAAGAAGTGAGCACGAAGCCAGTCACAACCCTCCTGTTGTTGTTGATAAGTGTCCATCTGATGCATTTGTTATCAACTCCAACAGAAGTGAGGAGGACAGAGATGATATGTTAGCATACCAAAAAGCTCTTTTGGATTATGGTATGTTAATAATAAATTTCTGGGATGCCAATGCAGAAGGAGATGGGGACCGTGTGTTACGATGCTGCAAGTTCTTTCTCATGTACTTAAAGCATCAGGATTCATCTTCCACAAAGTATTATTTAGAAGCCTTACACCTCATGTTTCAAGTTTATGCCATTTTAAGCCCACAAGCAGCTCACAGATTGATCTGGAACCGGTCGGTCAAAAACAAGAAAACAAGTTCCAAAATCCCATTAGATTTGATGTTATAATTCTATAACAACAATGAAAGAAGCTGTGAAGAAGCTTGGTCCAAGTGCATCTCCAAAGTCATTGGACAGAATTGCTAACTCACTGTGGTTCACAACTGAGATCTTCAAAGTTTTTGACTCAAGTTTGTCAGTTTTCAAGTGCTCTGGGAAACATTCCAAAAAGTCATCAAGGAAAGACCTTGAAAAAATTGTGAATGCACTAATTGAAAACAATGTATTTACATTCAAGCATTCTTTGTGGATTTAATATACAAAAAATGTTTCATTGGATAAACGGACACAAAAAGTACATGATTTTGTACAGAATTGCACGATAATAACTTAACACATTGGTCAACCTAATTGTGCATGATAACTTTAAACATTGGCCAACTAATATTTAGAATGATCCATTACAGTACATCTATATTTTAAATAAGCTGTACATGTGAATGGAAAGTCTGATAACTTGAAACCTTAATATTAATGCACATAATGATTAAACTGGCAGACACTTACTAGTCCCCGAGCCAGCGGCGCGAAGCACCGTGCGAGGGTACTAATTCTGCACAGCTAATTATACCCGGACATGTGAAAACATAGCGGAGTGCAAAGTTGTCCTCCATTTTGTTATGTCATGGACGGTTTTCGATGTTATGCGCATGCGCGAGTACAAGCTCTGTCTAAAGTAATTGTTTTTCATTTTGAAAGGACGTATTTTGAACGTATTTTGCTGTTTTACAGCAATTTTTTGTTTTAAATTTCACTAAAAAGTTTACAAAAGTACAACACGGTTTTTTTCTCCATTTTAGGGAGCGGTCATGAAGTATGTGTCATGGGGGGGGGGGGGGGGGG